TTTTCACACTTGAGAAATTCGCCTGATGATAACTCTTCCTTCGGTCCGTCCAATCAATAAATTACATTAATGCCAGGTCAATGAATGGCAGATGAAGTGGCTGCAGAGCCACTGGGTTTCTGCTGGAAATGGCCAAGTGTGTGTGCTTAAGGGAGATATTAGCAATTGATTTTCCACATCGCTTCCGACTTGTCATCATCAGCGAAAAAATGTCTGACGGCAAATCCTCTGGTCTGTTTGCTGATGGCGAGGGCGTCCTCGAATCAACAATCGTGTCAATTATCCTTTTTGCACACTATGCGTATCCGTTCTTGGATTATACCTGGCAAATGCTACACTATCGTTTCTGCGGCGGAATTATGCTAAAATTGCTTTATTTGGGAGAAAATACGGCGTTGTAAAAATATTTCTATGAGAATCTGCTTAAGAATCAAGCAGTTTTTAGTCAAACAACGCTTTAACACCTTCAAATAATAAAAAAGGCTATAAAAATTCTAGAATAAATTCTTCTGTTCCGAAAGATGATCATGATTATTACAATATGAACCAACAAAGAGGTTTTTTGCGGTTAAGTTCTATTAATTAGGCAAAGAATAGAAATTCATTCAATTCAGTCTGCTTTGCAATGCAAAAAGTCCCTTTGGAATTAAATTCTTTCCAGGGTTGAAAGACTGGAACATTTGCATCCCAACTCAGTATGCAAGACACTGAATTCATTTCACTTGCCATCCGTTGCGCGGCATTCTTTCCTGACAACACGAAACAATGTGCTTCGTGTCCTGAAGAGCAAAAGCTCTCGAGTTCCGGTGGCAAAAAGAGGCCTCGTGGAAGTAATGGCACAATTTCATGATTGTTCGCGACTACAAATCTTCGGCACACTTCCTGAAGAGGCATAAAATATGCACTGGAATTGGTCACGCTGGATGAGCATGAGTTTCTCCGAGTGCAATTTTCGTGAGTCTGGAAAAGGAAATGCAGAATTCATGTCGCTAATGTTCATTTTAATTTCTCTCTTGCTCACAGACTTCCTCAATTGTCTTCATAATTTATAATTTATTACACAATATAGAATAACAAAATTGGGAAAAATAATAATACAGAGTAATTCCGATGCAATCGAGGATAAAATTCATTGGAATTATTATTGGAAAATATAATTTAATTTTCTCATTTTGGCACTTTTTCCAGAGCACGAATTTGACATTTAAATCGCTCTCAGTTTTTTTTTTGTCAAGCTGTCGACAAAAATATATTGAAATGCTGCTGCAAAATAAAAAGCTTTTCACAATTGGCGTTCATGGTGGAATTTTGATGTACAGAGAAAATCTGGCAAATGTTTTAATTGCATATAAAGAACCCTCAACACACGAACAACACTTTGTGGGTGTTTAAATAGTGTCATTTCATTTTTCCCGGTCGCCAAAATTTCCATTTATGACCAAAGAGTGAATTGTTTGCAGGCAATCGGACAGAATGCAGAAACAATTGCGATTACAAGTGGGACAAATGGGAAATTTCTGACGCTACATAAATTACGTGGGAGGATGTGTAATTTGAGATGGAAAAAAAATCGCCAGCGATTGAAGTGTAATGCAATTTTGATTACAAAATCATTTCGCATTCATTGCCAGGCGGCTCAGCAGTCCAATTTTGATCGATTAACCTTCTGCAGTGGCGCCATTTGATTTGTTTCGCTTTTCCCTGTGGTTTTTACATGTTTTTCTTTCATCGAAACACGGCGCGATATATAAATTTTCCGCTCCGCAGAGCGAGATCGGATTGAGGGCGTCTGGTTTGGCAGGAAGCGCTCCTCTTCCTTGACCACAGCACTGGTGGGCATATTTGGGGGGAGGGACGAAAGAGGAAGTGATTCTGGAGTACGTGAGGAGATTAGGAATGGTCTATTGAATTCCCAGCCAGTACTTGGGGCACTGCCGAAGCCACAAAGTACAAGAGTAACGAGTAAAATGCTGCTGAAAGGAGACTCGCCTTTTTTCTGCTGCGCCACGCAAGAAAGGCTCATCATCACAAGCGCTCCTGGCCAATTTTATCGCCTCCCCCCAGGAAATTGCTCTCAATTGACATTGTGGAGTTGGAACAATTGATTCGGCCCATCAGGATGTAATTGAAATCTACATATACAGAGAGACACACTTCCACCCCCGAAGGATCAGCGAACAATGTCTGGAGGCAAATCTTTGTGTGCGATGAGGAAAAGAATCGCTTATATTTTATTCCTTCCATGCACAGCTGCCCGGCAAATGCATTTGCAATGTTATATCCTTAAGTCCCCCATCACATGAGCATTTATCGTGTCGGTATAATTTTGAATATCAAATTTCCACCCACGATTTCGCTCACGGAATAATTGAAATCTCCGGGAGGGCGAAAAGTGTTGGGGGAAACTATCGAACCATTAAGTCTTGCAGATTGGCCCCCGACGAGCCTCCCCCGTGTTTGCCACTGTGTACATAGGAATGGCGAGAATGTGCCGGAAATACAGATTGGGTATCAAAATGTCTCTCCGACGTAAGATTCGCCGCTCAGCTACTTTGTATGCTGAACAGAAAATTATTCCTACACCATGTATTATTGCGTCGCTCCTATGTAGCCCCAGAAAGTGACTGACGAAGATTGCAGATGGAGAGAGCGTACAAGTCAATGGCGGATGTTTGCAGCTCGAATTATCATATCAAATACTTATTCTCTCTCCATTGATCGCTGCTAAATGATAATGGCAAACGATGTGTTCAAGAGAAGATATTAAAATTTCATTTCCAATGTCATTCACAAAACTATGCTATGTACAAGAGAGAAATGCTATAGAAATGAATTTAAAGAGAGGGTGAAACGTGCAAAAATCGTCTGTGATTTTGCATACATGGCGGGAAAAGTTCAGCGGTGGAATTATGCTGGTTTTTGCATGCAAATGCTTAATTCTGCTCATTCCCACTGTTATTGTCGACTCGAGCATAAGAATTGATGTGCTAGAATGCGAATTAATGACAGAATCTGTCCTTGATTCGTTACATAACCTAGAAAAGAATTATTTTAGGATTGTTTATACATAAAAATTCAAAAATATTCTAATAATCGAATTGATTGGCAGTAAAAGAAGTATTTAGAAAAGATTATATTGAGAGTTTTTGAACACCTCCGACTTCCCAAGACTTCCACACAGTTGTACACCACTTCTGACTGTATTATCTGCCCCTTGGATTATCTTAAAGTGCGCCATACAATCACTAGTGACAAACCTTGAGATATTATCCTTTGAAAGTTCCTTCCTGTGGTGTCTTAAGACCATGTGAAAAGTAAGAGAACTTCTCTTGGTATTTTGAGTCCGGACAACAGCCAGACTTTCACAAGCTCAGGTTCGATTATGGATTTAAGGACTTGACTTTGAGATTCCACCACAAAAACCACCGCAGAAATTCATTAACCTATTTTGCGAAATCTCTGAAGTGACGCAACTGAGACTTCAAGACACTTGAAATGCAAGTTTCAAGATTAGTTTGGTTGCACTTGCAGTGATTAATAGTGCTCCATCTAATTAAGATGCACCAAGAGAGCCACTTTATCATGAGGTGTGACGCTATCGTCGCGAAATAAGTCGATTAGAGACAGTCCTGGGGACACTGCAGTGTCCTCAAATGCGTTTGAAAATAATTAATAACATAATAATTCAGACGAGGATGTCCTGATTGTGCCCACACCGGAAAAGTCACTTCCTGGACGCCAACGATGGCACTTTCCAGCTTTTCCAGGCGGCAGTTAATTAAAGGGAAAAGTTTCGGGGAACAATGTGCCATTCCCCCAGGAAACAATTTCAATTGGCAAAATTAGAGGTAATGAACGATCCTCACACTTTCACCTTGCACAACAACTGCATCGTGCTCACCATGTAAATTTATTATCATCACAGAGAATGTGCGGAGCTTTTTGTGTGTCTCAATGCGCCCCACACAAATTCACATGGGGCGCACAGAGGGTGGGTTTTTCGGGGTGGTGAAACTTCTCCCTCTCAAGTCAAAGTTACGCGAAAGGCAGGAAAATTCTTGCGATATGCACAGTGCCTTGTATTAGCGTGTCACGGTGAAAGTTTGTCCCAAAAGTAAATTACGTTTTCTTTGAGAAATGACTCATAGACTTTGTCTTCCGCGTGCCAGAATTTTGCACAGAAACTCCTTTTTGCCCCAAATTCCATGCTTTTAGAGGCGCCCCAGTGAACGGGAAAAAGGTAAGCAAACTGTGTGAGACAACAGATTAATTAAGACTCTTAAACCAACACAAGATATCTTAACTTGTAATTTTCATGGGAGAGTTTTAAAACACACAAAACACCGCGACGGAAGCCATGAAAGCATCGCAAGATGCGATAATCCATTTGATAAAAGATTCGTTCTTCAGGAAAACTCAAAGCTTTTATTTCTGTCACATTAAATAATTTTGCCATGAGCAGCAAATGCATAAAATATGCTTGAGTATATCTTGTGGGGAAAATGCATTTAGGGAGAAGAGCATGAATCATTCTTCCCATACTTGGACTTTATTCCATTAAAAATGAATTAAAATTTCACATTATCTTTTTTCAACTTATCGCGCTTAAATTATGCGTTATTAAATATTCATCGTGACTGATGCGAAAGAAGGGGCTTTAATGAATTTCTTCAGCAAATATTTGACTGAACATCCTTAAAAGCTCTCACAAAATTGCTTAAGGAATGGAATTCTGCAAAAAAAATCATTATAAATGCAAGAATTTGACTTATCTTAAAGTTCAGGGACACCTGAAAACTGTCTGATTATTTTTACTCACCTTCAGATTATTATATTGTTGTTTATTCCGTCTTTTTGGGTGTTTTTCCAAAAATTTTATTTTCTCCCTCTTCTGTTCAGCTCTTAGCCATTTTCTGGAGCTTTCTCCAGAAGCTTTTGCCTATTTTTCGGGCAGATGATTTTGAGAAAAACAACAATCTTTTCAATTATTCATCATACATGGTGTTTTTTTATTTACTTTAGTTGACGTTGCTCAAGATTCTGACAACAGACTTTTACATTTATGTCATAATGTCTCCTTTACTATATTTATTTCTCTCATATTTATACTTAAAGTGTTATTTACATGGAGCTTTATACGTCTTGGTTGAAATGTAATGACATTATAGCTTTAATTTATTTCTCTCTTCAAGTCATCTGAGCTTCTGCCTTAAATTGAAAATAATCACCATGACTGCTTCTGTTTTTCCTCCGTGATTCATCCAAAATTTCAACAAATCATGCCGCACAACTTCTTCAAAAATTTTCCACCTCACATCAAAGTATTTCAACCAGTTGAGAGGTTTCGCATTAAAAAAAATCAATAGAATACAATATACTTAACGATGGGAAATAGAAACACACAGAGATACACTGTGAGAAATCGGTCGAGTGGAGTCACGTTGGCGTCATTTGCACTTTTGGTTGGATGCTGCATTGCGGCTGGCTTCTCACCTGGAAAGCACAGAGTCATTGTGAAATTGATATGGCATGATGGGAAGTTTTCCCGCGGGAGGAAAATGACGAAAGTTTGCTCAATTAGATGTGACATCATTTCTTATCGCGCTGGTCATTAACCGCGCACAAAACCGCGAGCACTTGAAGAAGGTTGTGTTCTTGAAGTCCGCGCAAATGCTCAGACCTCAGCAATTCCCAAGGGGAAAGTCACTCGCAATTTCAGACTATTAATTTTTCATGATTTTTATTCAAAAGGCCAAAATTGTGGCATGAAAAACCTCAAAGAAGAGAAAAAGTTACGAAATTTGCCAAAACTTGATAAGCTGATCCATCAGATGATCAAACCGAGCTTTTCTTGCGCATTAAGCTTTTTTTCACCCTCAAATTTTATTATTTTCTGGACTAGATTACGCCCAGGAAGTCATAAAGTGTTTGAATGTGTGGAAAGACAAAGAAAATGGTGTAAAACATGCGATATTACTAGCGTCCCCCACGCCAACTTTGCTGCCCCCTGGCGGAGATAAAAGGAGAAAAAAAAATCAAATATTTAAATTTGAATTTAATATTCAGAATTTTTAATAGTTTGCTTGAAAATATTCAAATTTAGATTGTTTTGCAATTTCACTTGAAAAATCATCACTTTTTGATAATATTTATATTCAAATTATGATTTTCTCTATACAAAGTAACATTCAATATTTAAATGTTTAATTGAAACCATTAAGATTTCTTAAAAATCACCTTGTGACTTGCCCCTTGGCAGCAAACCCTTCGATATGGATCTCATGTGAAAAATTACAAATGGGAAACATGCAATTTTATATTAATTATGACTACTATCGGAATTTCTATCATCCACGGCAAGTGGCGTTTTTTTGCCGCCACCCTCGCGACGCCTTCGAAAAGGTTTAAGACGACATTTTATGGGTGAACACGTGAAGTGCTTAGTAAAAACACGCTCCTTTTTTTTATTACAAATTGCCAGATACACGGAAAGGCGAGAAGGCATTAAAAGCGATGGTGGAAAAAATTGTGACTTTTTGCTCCGGCAGTCAAATACGAGTAATTGAGTGTTCAATAAAATTAAATACACTAAATCAGGCATTTGGAACGACGCAGAAAACACCTTGCTGACCTGGGAAGACATTAATTTTAGAGGCTTTGAAATTTCTCTTAAGAATGGAGCACATTATATTCCTCTTGTAAAATATATATAGTCCAATGTAAAAAAAAAGTTACATTTTCTTATTGAAGAAAATGGGACAATTTATCAAAATTAGACTCTAAGTGAACAATGTAAACAATAAAAATAATAAGTACATTTGCAGCGTTTTCCCCGTTGAAAGCTCGTTGAAAATAGAATAAATAATGTACAACGATCTGCAGTGAAGCAGATTATATGTATTAAATATTCTCTAATGCGATTACAAAATAATATAAGCTCGTTTCCATGCAGAAACCTATAAGAGCTTCTGAATCATTTCCAACAGCAAAATCCTTCCACAAATCCACTGCATTGCATCGTGAACTTTTAATTGATATCTTCAGTTGATGGCACACAGTTTTCCCCTCTCTCGCTTCTGCATTGCTGAAGATCAAAAACATGGAAAATCGATTTGGCTGCTTGCCACCCCATCGGATGTCAGTGTGAGTTAGATAAACTGCCAGTGACTTTGATCCAAAATTCCAAATATACATATTTGTGTGGCTGATGGAAGTTGATTTGCATTTACACGTCGAGGGAAATTCATTTGGATGCGCTCGTGCCAAACCGCGATAAATTTCACATGCAATGGTGAGAGAGAGACTTCAATATCTTCCCCTGCTGCTCTCCCCATGCAAACACACGCGCTCACACCAATGAATATTGCATGGGTGGGAAAGCTCAACTTTTCAATCATTTCCGGGATGTTTTCTGATATGCTCACATGTGAATTTTAACGCAGATTCCCAGTTGAAAAGCCCGAGCTTTTCGCCCTTTTCCCATCGCTCACACCGCTGGCGAAGGGATGACTGAGAGGGTGCTTTAGCAGGGCACTTTCCAATATTTAGAGACAGCCAGCATGCCGAAAAATGGGTGTGAAAGAGCTGGAAGTTATTTATCCCTCCGCAGGGAAACCTTCGCAATGCCCAAATTCGGGGGAAACGCTGCCTGGCGGTGTATTAAAAATAAATTAAAAAATTCTTCAATATCCGCCCCGAGATGTCCCGGCCGCTGGAATAAGGGTTGATCGCCGCCTTCCGGAAGGCCACCCTCTCGCGATGGCTCCCTGCGGAACACCCGGCGCCTCCATTGAACTCAAATAGCATCGTAAATTATGTCTACATGACGTTGACAAAGGTTAAAAGTTGTTTTCTTTTGAGCAACATGTGCGTGTTTGCGATGATGTGTGTGTACTTTATAGCCCTCTAGAATATCTTTTCTTCACCCCCAGCCGGAACACCTTCCACCTTCCGCCGCCCCTCCACCAATTTGGCGCTCAATTGTCTTCCACGCGCGCGTATTGTTTGTGTACTGAATGGCGGTGGCAGATGAGTAATACTCTGCAATAGCTAAGGTGAAAGTTAAACAAGGATCTTGTCTTCTGCCTTCACGCAGAGTTTACGCAACAAAAGCCCCTTATTTATATCTGTTAGTGCTGTTTACCAGGGAGACGCGCAAATTACCAGCTAAATTCTGAGATTCGCTGTTATTTTCCCATGGAAAGGAACTTGCACACATTCTGGTGAAGAGTTTAATGTGATTCTAATCAGAAATTTATAACACAACCACAGGCATTACTGAAGATCAAAGCAGATAGTCGAAATGCCGAAACTTCTGCATGATAAAAGGCGACTTGAGAGAATGCATTGACCTGTAGTGAAGCTAAAAGTGTGAAAAGAAAACTTTGGTTAACTTTAAGGAGAACTTATTTACAATTACCAAACGATTAAATGAATGTCATAAACGTTTTAACGCAAAACCTTGCGTAAAACCGTAAATATCCGATTAAAGACTAGCAATGTTGTCTATTCTTTGCAGTGTTTGCGAGCTTTTCAGCTGATAAATTCGGCTTCCACTCTTTCAAAATAGTGTAAAATTGTTTTGTAACTAAACTCTGAAGAGATAATAAGATAAAATATCGGCTTTTTATCCGATATTTATATTTTTATCCGAAATGAACCGAAGATTCACAAAGAAGGAAACTTTTTTTTCTGTAATGTGAATTTGCATCCCCAATATTAGCATCCCCTGAATGAATTGAGAAAAGAAAGTAGAAAAATAGTAAAGAATAATGATAAGAATGTGAAAAGCGATGTTATCATGTGAAGAGAAAATGTGTTTTCCAGTCCTAATTTCAATTGTTATAATCTTGCTGAAGTCAGCATAATTGCTCCAAACTTTCGTCCCAGCCCGTGTGAATTGGCCAAAAAGGGGGTTGACTTACCCTTGAGGACGTGAACGTAGACGCTCGACTGCTTGGCATTCGCCGGGGCGCACGTGTAGTTGCCCTCATGACGAATTGTGGCATTCCGCACAGTGAGAATGCTCGACTTCTGGCGATTTGACGAAACCACTACGCCATCCTCAAAGTCGTAGTTCACCATCCGGGAGTCGTGGTACCTGGAGGCGGGGCGACAGGCATGAGACAAATTGTTGGGGTTGGGAATCCACCGTGTAAATCTAATTATTTCAGAGATTTATACCCCAACATTCCATTGCTTTTGTGGACGAGGACTTTTGGGTCGATGTGAGCAAATTTAATTTCATGCGGATTTCGTCTCAGTGCAAACACGAGACGCGCGCGAAGGTGGAGGGATTCGGAAGGAGTGTCAATGGGGAGCCGTTTATTTGCTACCATACGTGAATGATTAACGTACCAGAATACGTATAGCGGACTCTCAGTGGCTCGTTTCAGCTTACACTCCAATCTCAGCGTAGATCCCTCGTTGATATGCAAATCGGGCGCCTCTATTATTTCAGCTACCGCCTCTGAGTGTCGGGAAATTCGGTGTGGGGGCGCCGGGAAGAGACACGGGCGTCCGCAGAGACATGCAGGGAGAGAGAGAAAACTCTTCAGTTGGTGTCCCAGGGTGACTTACTGTGGGAATTCTTGCGAAATATGCGAATATGTGTGTGTGACAATATAAATTATGGTAATTTATTTGAAAACAGTACAAAATGACACTACAGATAGTGAAGTGCTAAATGGGATAAAAGGAGGAAAACCACTGTTATGGCTTCATTATCTAACTGCGACTCCCACGGCCATTGTGCCTCCCAGCAGTAACTCTGGGTCCCACAATGGGGACCCATTGTGCTGCACTGAGTGGGTGGAAGATATCTCCACCGCCGCCCCCCAAAATCAACCCTCCGCTTCCCCGTGAGCACAATGAGATGTGTGTAAAGTTGTGCGAAATCACTTACAATCCATTACTATTTGCTCTATTAGACATGTATGGGAGAGGGGGATTTATTGTGCTGAGGGGAGAAAATTTGTTTCCATCCCCACAGTATTAACTCCACCCCCGTCGACATATCTCAGGCTACCCCCAAAGAGTGTATCTCCCATTGTTCGGTAGTGTGCCAAAGCACTTCCCTATTCACATATTTCGGGGGTGTAATCCAGATTTTCACGTCTTACCAATGCCGAGTGTTCTGGGCTTAAGTGTTCTATGGCACATTCACAATTACAATTGCTACACAATCAATTTTCTCTGACTCCTTCATTCACTCTCACATGCGGCGTCCTTCCTTCTTTCGGTCCTTTGTGTCCTCTTCGGCAAAGGCGGCTGCTTGGCTGGCTCTTTGAGGACCCATAATTAATGAATAAACTATAACCCAATGAAAGCTCATTCGCAATAAAAGTGGGCTTTGCAAAACAATAAAATCTCCAATCTGAATGATTTGAACTCCAATCTGAAACTCAAAACGTTTCATCCGCACATTTTAAGGGTTCAAGTAAAGGGAAAAATCACTCGTGATTTCAGGCCATTAACTTTGTTGATTATTCAGTCATTCTTTGATTGAGGGCAGAAGTTTAAAGGCATGTTGAAGTTCCGACTGTGAAGTTTGTGAAACAAATCTAAATATTTGCAATAGTTTGATTATTGCTCAATTTTGAATATCTTAAAGGGCAGTTAATGTCAGATAAAACAGGGAAAAACTAGACTAGAACTCCTAAAAGTCGATGAAACACAAGCGGAACTTCTACATGCTTCTCAAACTTGAACAGCTGATAATAAAACCGAAGTTTTTCTTTGTCAAAAGCTTCATTCTAGCGCTCAAATATCCTTCTTTTAGGAAGTCAAAATGCGCGAACAGCTTTCTCCACGCCAGCTTTGCTGCCCTCTGGTGACCAAATGTGGAGAAAATAATGAAATATTTAAATATATTTAAATTTTGATGAAATATTCAATTTATTTTTGCCGAAAATATATCATTTTTGATTACTTTGCAATTCAACTTTTGTAAAGAATCATTTTCTGATTATTTGAAAATAATTGATTATTTGAAACTCAAAAATCAGCTAGTGATTTGCCCCTTGGTTTCAATGGTGGAAGTTGATGACATCTGAATAATGTCAGTAAACTCTGGCAAGTGGTTTAGGTGACATTAACCCTTAGTTAATACATAAAAACCACAATCAACATAGGTCGAATGAGTTATCTTATAATACATGTAAACACCGTAAATCAAATGTGAAACATAAATAAAAAATGCCTCATGAGTTTAATCAATATACAATTCTAAACATTAATTGAAGGTCGGGTTTTGGCCTGAAAAAATGTTGGAAAAAAAATTTTGCACTTGTTTAACCTCAAGCTAAATCCTCAAATATTTATAAATTGATACAACAAAACGTAAATTTATATGCACGCACATACATATGTGTTTCATGAGTGTTGTAAATTTGCGAAACACTTTTCCTTCCTCACTCTGCAATATCATATTCAAGGGTATATGTATTTCTGGAAAGTGTATCGATTGCTTTGGAAAACCTGTAATAAGACCCGAGAGAGGAGAAGTAAAGTCTGTCCTCGTGACGAGCACCCCTTTTGTCACAGAAATCGCTCAGGTGGAAAAGGGCTCGAGTTTTCATTAAATTCCAGTGGTGGAGAGTCGTCAGAAATGGGGGCCCGATGGTGAATGACACCCACCCCTTCCGCATTGGACTAAATTTTCTTGTCACACCTCACGAGCCAAAGGAAGGCTCGTGACAGTCGAAATAAACTTGGGGACAAGGTGAGAGACGCCCGGGAAAGCGTTCCCAATTCAATTTTCCACTCACCGACTATTCTCAGTTCAACGAAAATCGATTGGGGTGGATGTGTGGATATTTGGCACTCGTAGTATCCTTCGTCCTCCTTGCGGGCGCTCTTGATGCGCAGCGCCCAGTTGCTCTGGTGCCGCGTGTGCTCCACCTGGAATCTGTCGTCGCTGCTGTAGGTCAGCAGGCCCACGGTGAGGAGCTGAAAGTCCTTCCGGCGAAACCAAGAAATCTGCACAGGACAGTTTGACAATCCAGAGAGAGAGAGAGTTTTAAGGATTTGGCAGAAACTCGCGTGCATCAGCAATTGAAGGATATTACAATTAGTGCAATTCTTTCTCAAACCATTTGATGACCAGTTAAATAAATATATGTAGCGCGCTTCAAAAGCACACCCAAAAGAGTGTTTTAGAGGTGCGTGAAAACCCAAAGCCACACAGCACAATTTATATAACAGTGATATTTGGGCTCCTATTTAGGGGGTGTTTTCGACAGAAGGTTTGGTAATTATTTTAAATCGTCACTGTTCATTATGATTTCATTAAATTAGCGTTGCTTTTAGCACCAAACTAGCTCAATTGCGGTCGCCCGGCCGGCCTAATTAAAAATTTACCCTCTCGTGTCAGGGAAATATATAGGTTAAAAGCCTATGCACACATTAATCCTATCGCTTGAATTTTGTACGCACGTGTAATGCAAAATTTCTACAAAATTATATTGGAAATATTAGATCGTGCTGGTTTTGATATCGAAGCAAGATTACATACATTTCTGCACAGCCTGAAAGCTTTTGATGGAACTATTAGCTAATTGAAAAATATACGAAGTGCATTTGCACAAATTTCGTGTGTGCGGAAAGCTTTTTGATCAATATGTGTAAAAGCAAGGGGGAGATATTACGGTCAGAAGTGGTGTACGATTCAGCAGAAGTAGTTGAGAAGTGAAAATGCGTTAATAACTTCATTGTGTGCGCTCAAAAGTCACTAACAAAAGGAATAAACGCAATAATAGCAGAAAAATAATTGTTTCTCACATATTTTTAGGTTATGTCATGAATTTAAGACAAACTTTGCCATTGAATAACCTTCAAAATCATTAATTAATGTGCTTAAACTGAGAAAACTTTCAATTTACTGGCACAAAAATGATGAAATCTGTTGAAGAGCAAAAGCTTCTTAATGTTGAACTGTGTTCTTATTGCTAAAATTGATCATAACCTCTAAAAATTGTCTATTTTAAGAGCTTTGACAATTTTTTTCACTCTATAATAGGAAATTTCAGCTAATTTTTGACTTTTAACAGCTCTATATTCTTCAGATTTTCATTCTAAAATTCACAAATAAGTTTCTTTCAAGAATTCTTCTTGATATATCAAGATAATTTTTAGGTTATGATCCAAAGTTCATCCAAAAGAGCGATTGAAAATGAAATCACATCAAAATATCCACTGGAAACTTTTAAAATATTCCTTAAAAACCATTTCTCTGTAAGTTTTAAAGGCCACACATTTAAAAATTGTGTATTTTTAGGTCAAAGACTCATAAATTTTAGGTTATGACACTTTAGACGATTGGAAAAATCTATAACGAAATAGGAAAAATGCGTGTTTTAAACACTGTTGGAGTTCTTAAAGTTTCTGTGATTCTTCACAGAAATTGTGAAAGTGTCAGGAAGTGTTGTACACTGTCTGGCCGTTTTATCTCCCCCTTGTGTAAAAGCTTTTTCACAAATCACTGCCAGATAATTTTGTGTATTTGCCTAAGTTAAACTGCAAGAATATTCCATTCGTAAAATGCTGTTCTTTCTCGGTTGGGAATGTTAAAACTGTTGAAAACGAAGGATATTTACTCGTGGGTTTTCTAAAAATACCAAATTTACCGAATTAGTTTGTTTTTCTATTAGTAAATTAGGTTGTTCCTACCAGGAATACACTAAGGGCTGTGTTTGCTCACTTTGTAACCACCCGCGAGGGTGTGTTTCCTTACGAAGAGAGAGCACTCCCAGGGTAAATTGGGAAATGTAAATATTCGCCCTTCACTGATTTTCTCGTGGTTTTTCCCTCCCGCAAATTAAATGTGGCTGCGACGTGGGCGGAAACGCACAAGAATCGAGAAAGAATTACTATTTAATGAGCCACCCTCGGCTTGCGGGAGAAATCTCTCAAGTCGACGCGAGCTTTTCGACCGCTCGGGGTGGCAGTTAGTAGTAAAATACTTACTTACAGTGGCTGGTGTTGTGAGTGAGACGCTGCACGGCAGGATTGCCAGGCCGCCCCGCTGGCTTATCACACGGCTGTTGTTTTTCGTTAAAAATTGACCAGGGTGTCCCGATGTGAGGGAGTTGTGATGGCTGCCCCGGTGCTCGGCCAAATCTGCACGAGAGAAAGGCATTTCGGCTGGAGAAAAATTAATGGACTCTCGCTTTCAATGGCCCTCCCACACACACACACATCCCCTCAATTCCACCCTCAATGGCTTCCTATTGTTTTTCGACTTGCCCCGCCGCCGCTCAGAGAGCCACAGCTATTGCCATTCGAGGAAAGAGTTGATCCCCAAAATCGATGGTGTTTATGGCCAAATATCTGCTAGAACAACACTCGAGAGAAATTTGCTAACCCAGCGAGCCAAAGAAAACAGCTATTTTAGCTGAAAAGTGCTGAGAAACCGATCAGCGATCGCAGCGCACAATGAAGGAAACTTAATAGCGCTACAAACGCAGCAATTTGATGCAAAATATTAGTCATTCTTCCCTTTGCTAGATATTTTGCTAAATTTATTGCTCTTTTCTGCTCAGAACTGAGCAAAGAGACAGGAAATTCGGTTTCCACTGCGACATAAAAATGTGTTTCTGGCGTAAAAGGCATGAAATCATGTAAATCTCTTACATTTGAGGGTATTTGTGTTGCGCTATTTATACAATTGTGTATTTAAGTGCGCATTTAAGTTCGCTGTGCTTAGAAAAGCGCTTTTGTCTGCTCATGTTTGAGCAGAAAGTGGCAGAAGTGATGGGAAAATGATTAAAAGTATGCTCTAAGAAGGCGATAAACTGCTTAATATTGTGGCCAAATATGAGCTCGCTTATGAGCACTTGACTCAGCAGAAAATCAGGTGAAAAACATACTGACTTTAGGTGAATGTGTTTGCTGGGATACTTGATTAACTTCTTGTCTTATTTACACAATTGCTCGCCCAATAGAGCAATGGCCATCGTGAGAAGCACTTGATCTGCTAAACCCATATCATCTCTATATATTTGGCGGTCTACTATTCTAGCTCAAGTCCTGGCAGATTTCTGACTCCCTCTTCAGCTCTCTTGCTGGCGCGGATAAACGTGCAAGAGCACATTGGCCATAATATAAATTTAGTCTGATGCCACACCCCAAAATGAGATTTTGCATAATACACCACGGACCCAGGGCCAGGGTAAGTAACTCCGCCGCCATACAATATTCATTTGCAACCATCCAAAAGGTGCTACACACAGAATTCCTTCATATTTTAGCCCACCTCGCGCCATGCAATTTTCATGCAAAGCCATTGCATGGAAAGACGTACAAACAAATTAAGATTTTAACTCGAGTGGAGCAATGGAGGCCCTTCAAGTGGATGCCTTTCGTTTTTAAGCAGCAGCAGAAGAACTGCATAAAATGCCCGGCATGACGACGATTGCGAACACGATTTTCTACTTGAAGTAGTTTTTCCTAACATTTTTCATACTTCTTCTATTTGGCCAAATTCGTGACTGGTAATATTCCGGCTATTCATAATTCAACGTTCTTATTGCTTCTTCACATGATTCCGGGGCCCTTTTGCCTCTCACCCAATGTCAATTCCCAACAATTTAGGACACCTCGGCGTTTCCTAATTGATTTTCTTGTGGCGCTCAAGAAATTCATGCCAAATATCGCGAATGTTTTCGACATAGAATAAATGTTCGTGAATAGGATTAATTTCATAAGCTCAGCAGGGTGCAATTTTCTTAAGGAAATATCACCAGCTGATGACCCAAAATTGTTGGTATAGTTTACAATAGGTCGGGAATGAGATATTCACCTAAATCCTCGTCTCTGGAGATTGTCAGCAAATCTTCTTGCTTTGTAATGGGAAAGAAAATTTGCCAGAAAAGCAGCGATTAGATTCAGAATGGCAAAGTGCTCTTGACTGGGGGTTTTCACGAGATTGTCATCCACTATCTGTCGTGAGGAATCTTGGAAAGCTCCTCAAGGAGACGCCATTGTTGCCACTGACCCTGAACTGGGGTGTGATAAATTTGCATATGTGAGATAAATTTAATGGCAAAACAGCACCTTTGAGTATCTCTTGAATCATTTCCACACAATTGCTGCCAAAATTGCTGTGTCGCACATTTAATTGAAAAGAATATCAGTGTGAGAAATCACAACTTAACCACTTTATTGGGCCATTTCTCTATCTCTCTGGCCTTTTGTCAGGGAATCTGCAAGTTTCGCAGGAGTTTCGCCATGGGAGAAAAGTCAGACGAAACCATTATTCTAACTGGAAGGAAAATGCTTCTTCTGTGCGCCCCCAAAAGACATGCAATGTTGGCATTTCACTCATGCGAATCTGAAGGTGTGCATGTCAAAGCCCCGTAAGCATTGGCAGGACTAAATGCCAAACACTTGCTATACATATGTTCGGAGTCCCCTTTCTGTCCCACTTCATTTATGTGGCCAATCCATTTTAATTGTAATTTAGTGAAATGGGATTGACAAGGCTAAAATTGCTATGTATTTACCGCCATTCCACTCTTCGCTCCGCAGTTAGTATTATTATTTCGTCCCCAATTCGATCCTTCTGACATGCAACAATAGTCATGGAATGTTATTTAGATGTTTTCTGTCACTTTCTGCACTCAAAGGTGTTCAAATATTTATGCCTCGGGACATTGGACGAAATATATGGCTTTCCGCATTTCAACTTATCTCCGAGAAAACATCCTAAAACTTGTCCTTCCTATCAACTTGTCGAACTGCAATTTTACTTTCTTCACTTTTCTCTGTGTGTTTGTGTACTAAGTTAGTCAATTAAAGTTCCTCTGATGTTGCATTTTGCAGAGTTTGTAAAATGCTCTTTCCATTTGCTTGGGAGATGAAAGGCATTCTCTCGTGTAATGAATGTCCTTTGATTATAGGGTTTGTCTTTTCCACATCCTGAAAGTGTTCAAGAAAGAAAAACTTCCATGACTGTGTGCTGCTTTCAGTGTTGGGCGAATTTCCTACATTTTCACTTTTACACAAATTTTCTACATGGTAAATCGTCAAATGAAGGAACCAAAGTTCTAATTTCATTTTAGGCACAATTTTTTATCTTCTTCTAATTCAATTGCTGAAGCGAAAGCTATGAAAAGGCGACATTTTCATAGTTTACATATTTGGTATTTCAATGATTTTTACTCATTCTTTACGTGTAAAATGTAAAAAAGATATTTTTTACCATGCAAAGTCTCAACACTGGCTGCTCCTTAGGACTCTCCTGGGCGTCGCAAGTTTCGCAATGAAACACATGGATGGGCGAAGGATGTGTGGTAGAGATCTTGGGGGTGAATTCACGAGCGCCGCAGATATTGAAGAGGGTTGGCGACGAGGGTGAGCGATAATCACACGTAATTATTTAGGAATTAATTACGAAAGGACTGCGAAGCAGTTGCGAGGACAATTTAAATGCCACACGACGACAGCGCAGAAATTATGGCGCCAGTGGTGACGCTTTTATCACATATCACTTGCCGCACTGTCTTGCCTAAGTGGTTCCCATTGTGCCCGGCTGTTTTGTGGAGGACACACGAGCCGGCGCCGGGGACAAAAGCCGGGCCCTGACAGCGGACAATGGATGTCGAGGACTTTGTGTGGATTACACAACTTTTCGCATATGGGAACAAACTAGCAAACACTAATAACTCCCCACTTTTCGCGTAAGTGAATTTCCCAGGGCTTTTTGGGCCTCCTTGTTGCCAAGATACACAAAATGCTAATGAAAAAGCCACCATCGCAACTGTTCTCGGGGTCTCGGCAAATTTTCCCCGCAACTCTTCGCGGACTTTTTGCGTCAAACCATCAAGAAGAAAACAATGCCAGTCTTTTGCTGGCACATGTGCGCCACCCTTCGACTCTCATGATGATATGTGACTTAATGAAATGTTTCTCTTGCTGAGGTATGTGACAGTATTATTTTATTCGGCATAATGCCATAAAACTCAGGTTCTCCTGCACTGCCAAGGGTTTAGTCTTCTTGTCGCTTTTTTTGCCCAATCAAAGAAAGAGATGGTTTAGGAGGCACTAAAAGAACTTCTTTCGCGTCATACCTAAAAAAGACACAGAGACAGTTGTAAAAGCCGAATGGCAGATGATTATGGAAGGAATGAATTTACGATCTTTTGTCTTTTATCTAAGGAAAAGATAGAAGCTTGAATATTAAAGTCTCTCCACACGATGGAAAAAAAGCTCTGTGACTTCATTTTGCAGCATTTGCAGTTCATTTTTTTTTGCCTCTAGGCTCTAAGAGGAAATCCAATTACAGTTTGAAAAATAGTTTGTAGAAAAGTTTGCCATTTTAAACTAAGAGGAAATTGAGTTTGTGGATTTGCAGAATTTCCATACATCTTTTTTAATATGTCAAAAACCTGGGGGAGAAAAGCATTAAGCTTATTTTGCTTGAAGTGGAGAATTCAAAGTAAGAGCGATCTTTTTGCCGTTTGTAGAAACTTTTCTTGAGTTTTCGTCTATTTTCCAGTGAAAACTGCACGTGCCTGTGCAAATATGCAAAGCTCTCCGTGAGCCTCAAGTGATTTCATGCGTCCAGCTTTCATTAATATTTTTATTATGGACACTAAAAGTCACTCAGCGTGAATTACTTCTCATCCCGCCTCGTGTTTATTCATTAAAACACTGCTGCCGGTGTATCACTATTTTCATCTAGCTCAACTTTTACGGGGAAATTCGTCCAAACTGCCCTCCGGGGACCATCCCAAATGTGAGATTGGGGAGTATTAATTTTCACTTTTCGGGGAGGCGGGCGAGAGATTGTGGCAGAAGATGGCAAAAGAGTGCGTTAGAAGCGAAACACATTTGAAGCTCATCCTTTGGCCTCTCCAACCTGACTCGTGAAATATTCATTAGACCATTTGCACAATTAGTATCCAGCATGTCGCACAGTAATTATCGTTCCGGAACTTGGTTCCTTCTCGCACCACATTTTGCCCTCGCGTTAATGGTATCGTGCAGTGTAAAGTGCGCCATTTTTTCCCTGTACAACCGTCCGACAATAAATGTATTGCGAACGGTGGCGAATGGCTAATGTACGACTATGTAGCTTCTGCACTTCTATGTGACCTCATGTGTGGAAAATGCACGACTGAGAGAGAGACACTTGAATGCTCACTTCATGATTTGCTGCATGTCCTGCACGCGGAGAAGTATTAAATGGTAATTGAAACAATTTGCATTTCACCCCAAATGTCACGTAAAGTCATGTTACAAAATGTATGTATTATAAGCTGACTCTGTTACTCGCTCTGCCACTATTTGGCAACGAGAAAGTATATATCATTTTTGCCCGAATGCAAAATCAATGAAAATCGGGAGGGAATTTCAGAGACGAAGAAGGCAAAAATACATCAATATTTTAATGCAATTCCGCCTAAATTTATCAAATCTCTTCCTCACAGTGTTAATAGTGATTGAAGAGACACAATTCTCAACAAATTTTAGAGGCAAACATGAGAGAATTCGCCTTAGACGTCTTAAGAGTTTTTCGCGACACTTTTTCCGCGAAATCAACCTTATTTAAGCTCTTTCTGAAATAAGAAGTCCTTTTTGTTATTCCCCAAATTAATTGTCCTTTATTGTGCAGTCGAAAAATCTACCGCACTTCTACTGGTAAATCAGAAACAATGAAAAGTCAAAATTGTCTTTTTTTAAGAGGGAAAGTTGAAAATTTCGCTTTTATATTGCTGAGAAATTTACAAAAATCACCTTCATCGTCCATTAGAGTGCTAATATTGCTCTCTAATAATTATTTTGTGAATATTTCAGTTGATTCTGTTGGTTTTTTTGGGATGAAAAAATAAATTTTCATAGTTTTCGATTCATCCTTCGATAAATAGTGAAAGAAAAGAATTATTGTGATTTTTCAATATAATGTTGCTTTGTCGTTTCCCACATTTATTTATTTATGATTCATCTCTAAATGCATTCCATGCGAAATGATTTCTGATTTAGCTTTTATTTGAGATTAATTTATATTAATGTGAATTTGATAGCAATGTTTAGCAACTGAATATTTGATTGCGATTGAGTTTCAATAAATATATTTGCATCAAATGAAACTTTAACCGTGAATAGATTTTAGCTGGAATTCTAAATACCCCAAAAATAATTTCAAATACATATTTGAATGTGTTTATTTTCAATTTCACTTCCGGCAATTCAGCTGGACAAAGACAAAATCTATTCGCTGTTCCGCGCAGAATGACTTTTCAATGAATTCTGCAGCAATTTGAGAAGAGCGAAGAGGAAGTCCAAGAGTTCTACTAAGCCAAGTGGATAAAAATATTCAGAAGTAACTCATGGTGAGCTCTTGAGAAAGTCGGGAGAATTCGTAAAATTTTATGGAGAACATTTTCTCCACAGTTGAGCTTTTTTTCCGATGCCGTATATAGAAAATTTGCAGAAGGGAAAGTTTTCGAGGAAGAGACGCTCGGAATATATTGAATTTGATTTGGTACGTTTAAAGAATTTATCTCATTTATTTCTCTTCCATCTTCGGGGGCGTTTTGTACAAATGTGTGTGAGAGGGAAAAAGTTGTGGCATGAACTGTTTTCACATGGACAGAAAAAACCCCGCAGGAAAATCCCAGCCATTGAGATATTGATTGACGATGTGTTTAAGAAAATGTTAGAGGGTATGTTTGTGAAGTAATTAAATGTAGTGCCTAGAAAATGGAATTAATTGATTGATATCCACACTTGTAATTTCTATTTTGGGATAAATATACAATAGATGCGCGCCACAATACACTCAATTCGCTGGAAGTTGATTGAATTATTAATTACCAAATGACTGATTGATAAATTGTTTGAGGCGCCCGAGCAATTTGTTACGTCCGCGTGTCCGATATTCCTGGCTGAGTGCTTGTTGATTTATCCGGGCGATAGCAATAGATACCAGAAGTGCTTTCCATTGCTCGAGGATTACACTCTTACCCATAATGATTGATTAGCTTTCCGCCCGAGGCGCTGCCAGGCAAAAAGCTCTCCCACCCCAAAAGAGTCCTGTTGTCGTAAAAGATCCGCCCCGGCAGGCAAATTACCCTTATGGACTGGATAGGAAAATTTGTGGAAATGCAGATGGAAATTTTCCACTTGGTCGATTGACGAATCAGCTTTGGCGTAGTTCCAATTCAATCAGACAAAGTGGTGCATAAAATATTTCAAGTCAATGACCAATAGGTGAATTGTTTCCCCTTGCGATGGACTTCTGGGGCAATTTCCGCCGCTTTTCAAGCTTTCCCAGATTCAGATGGTCGAATTGAGTTGCTAACTTTGGCTTTCAAACACACCATGAATTTGCACAACTAATAAATTAAAATGGAATTGAAGAAGATTTCTATCCACATTCATAAATAAAGTGACTCCAAATCAAATATCGATGTGAAGCTAGAGATCTGAATTTTTCCACCAATCTTCCCTCATTAATAAGTAATTACCATGCCAAGTTTGAAGACATTTGGCCCAATACTTTATCCCTTTGTGATATCAAAACCGAATCAAAGCAGAAAAGCAATCGAGATTTTAAATAGCGCCGTCTCAGCAATCTTTGATTATTTGTCCGGTACATTTGTTTTGGGTTCTTAAAGTGGTTCAAATTAATCCGAGGTGTCTCCAGGATAATCATCCTGCAGATTTCCAATTTTTATCTGGACTTTATATGTGTTTGATATCAAAATTTGATTAAGTGAATTTCAATTTATGATTCAGAGGATCGAACGCAGACTTTTTCGACTGTGCAAGAAAGGAAATTTAATCAGGGAGATAACCAGAAGGACCTCTTATCCCAGAAAAAAAGTTTTGAGCGCAATTAACTGCGTAAAAAGCGTTGATTTCGCGGAAAAAGTGTCGCGAATCATTTTTTCGACAAATTGTTCAGCATTTTTAGGTGAATTCCGTCACGTTTGCTTCTAAGTTCCATTAGAAATTGTTTCCTGACATGCCTCTAATCTTTTTAATACCGTGAGGAACAGATTAAATGAAGTCCTGCCTTCTGTGTTGTGCAATTACATATTTACAGACCTCAAGAAGGGGGAAAACAGCCCCCGAAACGTCGTAATGGAATAAAAATTGATTGAACTATAACGAAATTGTTCATTCCGTTTTTAAAATCAATCTCCATCACTTGCCGAAAAATACATCCATCAATGACTATTTAGAGTTTTCATCGCTTTCGATTCACCCGTCATTATTGATCAACTACAAATACTTCATCCACCCACAATTTTCCACAATCCTTTGCGCGAGCTGATAAACTCCTTTTAGTGATAGATCAAACAAGCCATCGCGCCCCATTATCAAACCATCGCGGGAGTTATTAAATGAGCCATTGAGTCGCTTGTCGCTGAAATTGCTTAAGTATTTTTGCTAATGGGGCGAAAATGTAAAATCAACTGCGCCTAATTGAAAGCAAATGTTGTGGCATAATCAATTTGTGTTATGCACAGAATTGGGCAAACTCATGGAAAATTAGTCAGACGAGAGATCGTGTTTTATTTTATGGGGAAACTTTGGGCTCAAGGTGATATGAGATGTGCGGCTGGCGAAGGGTGGCCTCATCATCATCTCAACACCACGGCTGAGTAACTCGATAAGAAAGTTATGTTGTTGTATTTATTGCTGGGAATTTTGGTGGAATGCGTCGGAGTGTCGGTGGCGACGTTACGACAAAATATCGCAGTAATAAACTGCGGTAATACAAGGTGTAGGAATAAAAAGTGGGAGATTACACGTGAGATTATTGATTTCACATTTACTCTCCAGCCACCCACTTGATGTGTCCCTTTTTGTATTTTGGACAAGGAGGAAAGTGTGCAGAAATGTCTCACCTTTGCGATGGTGCCTCATCAGGCCGTGAATTTCTTTATCCAAAAAGTATCCACTCGACACTTTGAACAGAGTCATTGCAATGATGACGAGGAGTCTTCTCAACCACATTAAGATAAACTTCACGTGTCTTCGTCACCAGAGTCACAATTTTTCCCAACACACATCCACAACATTGCACAGGAGCTTCCCGCAAATTGTCCCTTGCAAGAAGCACAACTTGCCGTCGCTCAGGCCATTCCCGCAGTCAAATCCCTCGTGGTGGTGGTTCAGAAACTACCCTCTCGTCTGCATCCAGGAAACACTGCGCCAAGAGACACCTCACGTCCTCACCCACGAAACGTGCCGCACAGATGGGAAGGCCGCTGAGAACTAATGCGGACTCGGAGGGTGAAAGTGTTTCCTGGGGAAGCAAGGATTGCCGGACATGCGCCCTGCTCAGCATCCACAAGTCCCACCGGCGGACTTCCCCTCCGCGATGTTTCATGTTTCACGCATTGGAATGCCTGCTGGCGAGATGGGAAGGCGATCGGAAGAGTGGAGAGACGAAATCTGTGGCGCGATGAGGAGCCTTCCGGTGACAACCAGCACATTTTCAAGTCACTGATAAACGCCACGGAAGACATTTCAGGTGTGCCATTAGGAGGACACTTTTCGCCTTAGTCCTCCGATTACATCGAATGACGCATAGTTGTTCCAGCCTTCGAAGGTGTGGGAGTTACTTTGAAATTCAAGATATTTCATCCCCCGAGACCTTTTCCACTGGCAAAGCCTGTGAATTTCCTCACATTTCAAAGGAATTGTGGTGAATTTTATTTAGTTTACGTTTCCCCTAAGGAAAGTTACTTTAATGATACATTTATGTACGTCTTTTACATACATTTATAGCTTATTGTGGGTGAACAATCAAAAAGTTCTTCGTCATATTTCAACTTTCTTTCTATGCAATCTCTTCGCTATAAAATTTCCAAAGGGGCAAGTTACTCAAGCAGTCAATCATATCAAAATTTGATTAAAAAATAATCAAAAAATGATAATTTTTCAAGTATAATTCTAAAATAATCAAAATTTGATTATTTCAGGCAAAATATATAAATAAATTAAGCTATATTTCAATATCTTCTGAGTGTTTGATTAAAACTTAAATATTTGATGATTTTCTCCAAATATAGACGCTAGAGGGCAGTAAAGTTGGCGTGGGGGACGCTGATAATATAGCGTTTTCCACATTATTTTCTCTGTCTATTTATGCATTTTCACACTTTATTGACTTCCTGGGCGTGATCCTGGCCAGGAGAAAAGGAAATTTGAAGTTTTTCGCGTCTCACGAGCAGCTGATCAAGCTTGAAAGGCACGAAGAAGTTCCGATTGTATTTCCCAAAGGAAAAATTGGAAACTTGTGGCAGATTTGTGATTTTTTTTCACTTTTTGCCAAAGTTTATAAGCCAATAAATTGTCAAAAAAATCATATATATCGAAATTTGGTTAAAAATCACGAAAAATCAGGAAATGATTGAGTAATCACAATGCTGCGAGTGACTTTTCCCTTGAAGTTTTCTTTTGAAATTCACAAATATAGAAACATCCGCCCGGCATTCATGTGTTCGCGATGTGACATGAAGCATTCGACAATTGGAATTACTACAATGGCACATATTAATATTGCGGCACGAGCGACACGTCCCATAGAGAGTGGAGCAGCACTTTGGAGAATCATTTTGGGCGTCATGCGCCACCCACTGGCGGAGGAGCTTTCACGTGCTTTCACTCCGCCAGCGAACCTCGCAACTTGGGTCCATTATACGTATTTAATGGTCTATTAATGACTAATTGGCAGTGTAATTATGTGCGATCAGATTTTCGGTGAATTTGCGGAATCATCAAACTTTCTCCATGTAAAAGCTACCTCCACGTGAAAGCTTGTCGTCGCTCCCCAACATTTTCCAATTAGGTCATTCTCTACTTTCCAACCAGTGGGTGGGCGAAATTCCGTCGGCGAGGCTTAATCCATCTTCTGCCCGAGTTTCTATATCATAACAGATTCACCCTTAAATATTGAAAATGAAATTTTAAACCATCAATATTGTATTTGTTGGGCTCTCACTTGACATACATCTTTAGAAAAGCTTCGGTAGGAATTTTATAAATAGACAACGATTCCTTATATTTAGATTTCAAGCAACTTTCACTTTTTCCTGCGATAAAATGACGGGTTTGGAAATTTATGAAGCAATTCCCATTCAAACGAGGAGTTTTTAAAGTGTATTTTAGTAGATTAAAACAGTCCTGCAAAGAACGATTTTCCACTTGGATTCATTAAAACATTCTCGATATTTGCAAATTTCTTACACAATGTTTTTAGAAGTATTTAACATTCTTGTATTTGAGTGAAAATCACTCCATGACTATATTTGTCTCTCCTCTTCAATTGACTATCAATTGATTATAAATTCATGTCTGTCAAAAATACCTCTTCAGCGGCACAAATTCTCAGAAGAATGATCAGAAATCTATAGATTCACTTTCTGACAAGACGTGCACGAGCTTTGTTTATGGAAGCGACAGTCCATGATTGTGTTTATTCAACTCCAATTGATGAAATTTTTACTTCTCCATCATTCCGTGCATGGAATACTCATAAAAGTTGAGCACGAAAAAGCTTGTTTACGTGTATATTATTCCTCCAACTTCCCCATTTAGTGACAGTGACGATTGCAGAAGCGAAAGCAGCAGCACAGCGACCATCCCTGTTCGCTGTCGCTCCTCGCGCGGCCCCAAAATAATGTATTATGGGCGGAAATAGGGCGTGCATGAGGGAAAAAATGAAGTTGTAAAAGAACAATTGTATAATTCGTTTTAAATTCCGGTACGGGGTTTTTTTACGTTCCGGTCCTCGACTCATCCTGCAGTGTTTGTCGTAGCCACTGGGGCAGCATAAATATTGCGGAGGAGCCATTACTGGTCACATAAACAAGCCACAGATGGCTTAAAAGCCCATATTAAGCCATTCAAGTCCGTGAGGCAATAAATTGTGGATTTTTGCCGCTGCTTTTGTTCGCTTGGTGGGATTTTTATTTCCTTCTCGCACTGTCTTTACCACGGGCGCCACCCCCAAGCCGACAGCAAAAAGCATCACGCTCCCCTCCGTCCAACCCGTGCGCGCTATCTGCTGAGGTGAGAACTTTAATTCGCGCCTGCAGAAATTCGCAGGTGCTTATCGCAGTGGAAAATCCACATATTGGGCCGTGTATTGGAGTCAAATTGCACAGAACACCCACGCCACGGGGCGCAGCTATTGAAATGCACGCCGAGTTGATAATTGCACAGGAGCACGAAAGAGCCGGGATTCACCACTCCTCCTATCTTGATTGCACAGCGCCGAGAACTCCCAGCCAATGGCCAACCGATCGCACAGGGATCAATTCCCTTTAATTCCTGCCATAGAAACTGACCTGGAAAGCGAGGATTCCACAGGAAACGAAGAAAAAATTCATAATTTTTTGCACGCCGCTCAAATTTAACCACATTTCGCGATGAACATAGTGTGAATAATTGCAAATATTGCAGCTATAAATTATTATTTGGAACATAAAGTGCACTCAGTGAAAAACAAGGCGGAAAAGCACGAAAAATTCGATGTTGAAAATTATGTTCGTTATGAATATTATTCTGGAATCCGTAATAAAACCGCGAAAAAATCAACAACGCTCGTAGTGAATACAAAAAGAAATTATGAAATCAACTACGCCGTTATTAATACAGAATAACTCGTCGTATGATTTTTCCAAACATCACTTCGAATATCAACGCATCTCCTGTCTCTGTCTCACCTCCTGCAGAATACCCAGCATAGATTGTGTTTATATTTAGGCAGTCTTGTCCTTTGTTCACATTGTGCTGCTTCGTGAGGTGAATGTGGAGCGCTTCTAATATTTCCAGTAGACCATTTTTTATGCTGCGATCCAATATGCTCACATCACTGAACAAAACAGCAGCATCTGAGGAAGAAGAAAGAAATCTCCGAAACGTTGTGGCAGAGTGAAAAGGAGTTTTAACTCAGTGGTCTTTATTCCGTCATACATCGTTGAGTTTATTTGCTATATCGAAATTTACAATAACTTAATGTCTATTCAGCTTTCTTACTGATTGTAGTTGAGGAGTGGAAATTCCAGCGAAATTGAGAGGTGAATATGCAGCTTGTTGGTGCAAGGAATTGTGTTGCTATTCTGATAGAAATGCTTAATTATTAACTTATGACTGTACATTGTTGTCTTGTTTGTAGCTAAGCTTTCCCCTTTCATTCTTTGTTTTACACCTGAACAGACGTTGTTAATTTTTCAGGGCCAAATATTCATTTATTACACAGCTTTACAGTGGTGTTTGTTTTTATAGTTCATACGGAATAAGACTGCGGCTTGGTCTTAAGATTAAGACTCGAGGCGCCACAGAATATCGGTCTTACCGACTTTGGTTACAAGCATTTGTGACGAAATATTGACGTGTGATGGTAAATACCATGGCTTAGTTAATTTTCTGCAACTAACGAAGCTTTTTCGAAAGAATAGCTGTAATATTATTAACTACGTAAAATAACGTTGTTGGCTTTATTCTTGCGATTTCCTCCTTTTTTTCGCTGAGTGTGGATTAAAAGGGTTCACACGGCAAAATTAATTTGAGGCATTTATGGATATATGGTCGATTCTCAGTCACCTCGCTGTGAGTGACCCATTTGAGGTAATTAAATATTTCACTCGCAATAATATGACAATTATGTCTATATGCATATTTTGTGGATTACATTCATGTTAAATGCAAATGCAGAAATTGTACCCCATATTCTCTATATTCGTTATATGTTATTTTCCCCGAAAATTTTCATGGTTGTTTCATCATGATAAATTGTTTTTCTTTCTAATAACAACAATAGCACTATTTTGTATCTCTCATTCCATCTGAGAGGCACTCCATTGTGCACAAGTTCTGCGGCACAGAGAACAAATTTCAAACCACAAAAGATGCCGCGCAAGCACTGAAAGACTTTTGCTAACGATATTTTCCCACCCAAAAAGAGGTGTATTGTGAAAATTTGTTCTCCATGACGCGAAAATGGTATTAGTCTCGGCCTGTGCATGATGCTCTCTTCCACACCGTGGAGAAACATTCAAAAAGTTTGCAATTAGAACTTCCCCGTGGCGCACTTTCTGGCACCCAAACTTTACATCACGTGTAATAGGAAAGTATTGCTGGCAAAATGTTGTTCGCTCTCGTAATTTGAATACTATCAAGTGTTGATACTTCCACGGAAAGAGAGAGAGAGAGAGAGCTTCGTGGCGATGGAATTCGCTGTTGAGTAATGTGCGGTGGGTGT